ATATGTAAAGCTGAAGAGTTTGTTTGTTTGTTTAAACGCGGTAATCTAAGGAAGTACGGGTTCGAATTAAAAAAATATTTTTGTGTTGGTTAGAGCATTTATCGAGGAAAGTTACAGAATATAACATTTAATAAAAGGCTTAAAATGGGTCCAATATATTAAAATTTGATTAAATAAATAATAGATTAGAAGTCCATTTAAATTAAAAAAAAATATGAAAGAAAAATACGAAACGGGCTGGACTCGAAGCAGTGTGCAGTACGTTCCGTGCTGCTGTTCTAACCGATTGACCTACCGTGTCCAATATCATGTGAAAATATAAAAGTTTTAGAAATAAATAATTGTGAGTGAAACTGTAAAATTGGAAACGTCTAGAACAAGTTGTAACCTACTTCAAGAAAATTAGGACTGTAGAACGCAACGAGAAAACGCTTGACACTTTTTCCAGGAAAAGGAAAAACCTTTTCAATATATCTTTTTGATATAAAGGTATTATCGCCTAACAAAAAATCCTTAACGAGAAGTTAGATTCATAAAACATTTCTGTAAAGAAAAAGAATTTTAGAACATACTCTTACAAGATAATTAATTAAGTATGATACACGAATTTTCCCTTACCTTTCAAATGTCATATTAAAACAGCTCTTTTGGCTTAATGTACGACTGTTAATCGCAGGACCATGGGTTCGATCTTCACCGGGTCACACATGTAAACAATTTTTTTTTTTTCTGTTAAAATGTCTTCTTCTGGAAATTTGCGAAAAATTAATGGGTGGTAGATATATTGAAATTCCGTCCACAGATGAAATAGGCGTGAAGTTTAATAACACTTCAGTTTCAAACTATCGATTTCCGAATGTCCAAAGGGTCGACAGATACAAAAGTGTGTTTGCTCCAAGTCACAAAAAAAAGGGGTTATGACTTGCACCCGATACGACTAACTTAGTTTAGTCAGAAAATTACTACCTTAACTAATCTACTAATTTAACATAAGAATAAATAAGTTTGTTTACTTTATTTAGCTTAGCGACAAAAGCCAAGGCGACATGCCAGCTAAATCGCTGTTTTAATAATAAACTTATAACTAGTTAGCAACAAAGACGACAGCGAGACATCTAACAACTGATTTTCAACTAATTTTGCTTCAAAGTAACGCGTTATATGTGGTGACACGAACTTTATTAAAGTTTTAAAACTAAAGCATGGAAAACATTAATTTCTTGTTTCGAAAAGATTTGAAATAAAATTCTTTATTACTAATAAATGGATAGATGATCTCGTTAGACCGATGTATGGCTCATAATCAATACGATTATCACCAGGTTAAACATATTTTTATAATTGTTAGATATAGTGCAGAAAAACTATACGTTAAATGGATGGAAAGAATATTAAATTTCCATCTCGGTTACCAACAACTGTAATAGAATGTGCTTTTATTCTTGCCAAAATGATAAGCTACAACAATTATAGCTATTTAAATAAAACACTTCTAACGGTTTAAAAGGCGAAATATAGCAACGCGGCTTCTAAAAAAGCATCTGAAATGTCAGACCATAGTTGAATTAAATAAAGAACAAGTTAACTAATATCTCGCATTTCCAACAGTTAAGATGTTTTAACTACAAACCATATATAGTAAATTCGGTATTATAAAATATATTTTACCCTTACTTGTTAAAATGACCAATTATAGATTTATAATATTGCAGACAAAAGGAACACTGCCAAGGGTTAAAGGATTGACAAGAGTAATTAAATTTCGCTGTCGGCTGTAATTATTATTACATTACAGACATGTTTTTGTGTCTGTTTCACTTCTTACCCATGATTTATTTATAGACAAAGTTTACATTAGAGTTTACGACCGTAATTGATTTGGTTTCCTAGGATTCAAACTAAGGATTTGAGCAACAGCACGGAACGCTGTGGACGCCGGTTGCTTTAGTTGTGCTCGTATCATAAAAATCGATTTTTAACCTTTAATCACATTTAAAGCTAACAATCAAAGTGCTTTAATGTAAATTTTCGAATTTTCCGAACCAATATTTGGCAGAGATTCTTAATTATGCCTGGGCATTTTACTATACATCCTCTACCGTCAAAAAATTCCTCGTCCGTTATTTTTACCACTTTAATCACGCGAATAACCTCAAAAGAGACCTCACAAATGCAAACAAGTACATGAACGAAATTGCTCAAACAATCTCTTAAAAGAAAGTTTTAATTAGAAAATAAAAGCCTTCGTTAATAATAGCCATAACTTTTCGCCACGGTTTCCACTCGGTCAATGAGATTTCCCTTTCAAATGTTTTTAACTTGAGTTATTTCAATCGGATCACATAAAAGGCTTCAATTAAATTTATGAGATATTAAATTTAAAAATTCTACCTCGGCTAACTATTAATAATACTAATGTGCTTTGAAAATTTTACTTCCCTGTTTACTCTGTATCTCACGGGCTCCTTGGTCCAAAGTAATCAACGGGTCATAGATTCGATCCCCGCCGAAAAACTTCGCCTGGAAATCTGGATGTTAAATGGGTGGTAGGAATATCGAAATTCCATGCAGGCTTTCACCCACGATCTACAGATGAAAAAGCCGTGATTTTAATCGCCGTTTTATTACAATCTGTGGATGTCCAATTATCCTAAGCCAAAATATAATATTGTGCTATTAAATAAATGAATTGTACGTATTATTGTTACGTACAAACAAATTCTTTAATACTTGTCGTTTTACGTAACCTATATAAAACCTCCGAGTAAAGAACGACTATCAACGAGCAACCGCTATTTAGTGAGTAAACATAACCCCGACCTATTAAATGCTTTCTCACAATAATTACTCAACTAGTTTAAATAAACTATACTCTATATTCCCGCTGTGTAAGACTGGCTTCATCTTCGTATCTAAATGTAAGATGATGAAGGACCAGTATATAATTGGTTATTTCTTTGACTAGCTCGTTGGTGTAATGATATCAATGTATGGCTAGTGATCAACGGGTCGTGGATTCGAAATCCACTTGATGCAAAATGTTCTTGATTAGAAATCAATAATAATTTTTCTAAGTAATCTTGGTCTTCGTCTGGAAGTGTGAATATTAAATGGTTGGTTGGAATATCGGAATTCTGTCCGGGCTACATATCACCAGCCATTCATTCAGTCTGTAGATTTCCGAATCTCCAAAGCCAGAATAGGCCGACAGCGCATCTTGTTTAGATGCTATAGGCTGTGGTATATCACCTACCATGAAATGAACCCCATGCTTGTCTATCCTCCTTTATCATAAAAAAAATCCTTATCTCAAATCCATACTCTATTTTGTCTTTTTTACCTTCTCTAGCGCAAAGTATTAAACAGGGCGTTCTAAATTCAAACCTTTTAAAAACACATTAAGTTTAAATTAGGTATTTTCCAGGGAAAATTGCCAATAGGTACTTTCCCTCGTCCACTTTCAGGTGACGTTGTTGCCACTCGCTGAAAACTTTACAAAATGTTTATTGTCCTATAATGAAAACATTCTAGGCCATAAACGGCGAAAGAAAATTTAATTTCCGCTTAACGTGGTAATGAAAATTCCATCGTTTTCATTATATTTTTGCGGGCGTCGAGATGGAATTCTAAACTATATTTCGATAGCAAATCGTTTAGACAATACGCCTGTATTATATGCAAGTGGTATATAAACAATTTAAAACGTGAAATCTAATAGATCATTGATCTTTTACTAAAGCCCGACGCTTAAGATGCTTTTAAGCAACTGCTCCGAAAATGAACAGCAAGGAGATAGTACTGAAAAAAACACTTTCACGGTTTAAAGCGATAAATATTAGTTAGTTTAACTAACATTTGGAGCAGCCGTGGTCACGGGGAGACGTCAGTGTTTTATTTAAATGTGTACTACTCGCGTATGTAGTGGTAAAGTTTTGCATCTAATAAATAAGTTAAGAATGTAATAGAAGGTTTAAAACGCGATATATTTTAGTTAAACTAGTTTGAGAATTATTTCCAACTACGGCCCGACGTTTCGGATACTTTGCAGCTAAATACCAACTTCGACGGAACAGATGGCGCTAGCGTACTAATTTTTACTTTGACGTCAGAGACATCCTCCATCTTTAGTCTCCCCGTGACCACGGCTGCTGCAAAGCATCCGAAACGTCAGGCCGAAGTTACAAATTATCAAACAAGTTTAACTAAAATATATCGCGTTTTAAACCGTTTAAGTGTGAATACAATTTAATGGGTACTACAAATGTATAGAATCACAAGACACCTAGAAGAGAAAAGAAGCATTGCGCTGTATTGAGCATGTTTCAGTCTCATTAACATAGAAATTGAACCACAGCCTGACGTGGACTGAATGCCGTAGATAATGAACTCAACTCTATAAGATTGAACATGCATTAGTATTGACTAGGGATAAAATGGATTCCTATGAGAAATTCACGACTAATATATTGGATTAGAGGCTCCACTTCCTTGAGCCTCCGTTAACGATATCTGCGTTGGAATAAAACCTTTGGACCATAAAACTATACTGTACTGAAATAAGACATTGGTAACGTGTCCACAGCCGCTGCAAAGCATCCGAAATGTCGCCCAGTAGTTAATATAAATTATAAATAAATGTTTATATTACCTACTTTAAATTACAGTAAATTCACCTTGACACAAAGTACTCTAAATTAACAAATACGACTTCCTAACTATTAATATTATGTATATGCATATTTAAATAAAACACTTTTAACGGTTTAAAACTCGTTTCATTTATTTTGACTAAGAGTCGACATTAAAAATTACGACGTTACAAACCGTTAAAAGAGTTTAATTCAAATGTATACTACTCGCGTAAACTGCAGACAATATGTAACTATATTGTTTTAAGGACGTTACAAAATAGCTTTATCTGTTTTTCATGTACTCTATATTTGTACTATGTATGTCATAGCAAAATGTGATTTTTCTAACTTAAAACCTTTCTTGTCTCATCAATTTATGTTAATTTTAGAAATGGTGTAAGAAAATATGATTGTACAGCTTACCTCATTTCTCCTAACGAGATCAGTCTTTTCATAGTCCGCGCGGGTGCGATTTAAAAGCTCGTCATCTGTCATAGTTGATTCATCAACCAATCTCTCATTACTGTTACAAGGATGATTTATTAGATCGGGTTGGTTCATTAGGTTGGTAGCGTTCTCGTTCAAGCAATTATCTTTAGCTAATTTTGCGTCATCGTCCCCACGTTTATCATGGCTCCTGATTTTGAAACAGTTGATTGACGTTTTCCCCTCTCTCGCTTCGTCTCTGTATTTATGTTCTTTCTCTGGTTTTGTTTGTTTTACTTTGAGGCGTTTCTTCTTTCCCTTCCACTTCGAGTTGGTGGATTTCGATGGGCTGTCGTCGCTACCAAAACTATCTGTACAAACAGGGTTCACCAAGATTTTAGTGGACTGCGCTTCGCGTTCTATCTTCCTCAGATTTAAGAGATTTCCGGAATCTATAATCGACGGTACAGATGTTGGTGACGCAGAATCATCTTTGGTGTCGGTCACTCCGTGTACTGATTTGGGGAGCATGTTTAATGTTTTCATAACGTTAGTGCTATTGTGACGTGTTTTGTTTGATCCGAGGGGTCCCATTGTCACCGGCGGTCCTCCTTTGAACAACAGCGCTGTCTCCATTGGTTGACACACACAAGCTAACATTTTCACTTTATCATTTACTATCGACAGTTATCACTCACATTTTGTAAAATATACCTGAAAACCTTTCTTATATAAGTCGAGAGTCAAGAATAGCTCTAGATATGAAATGTACAATAATTTCAAGTTCGTAGGGGTAACGTGTCGTAAATACTTCGCCGCAGACAACGTTTATTCTGATATTAAACTTGTCTTTGTGCCTTATTGCCGACATTATTTTGAACTAAAATAGAAAATATTTCTCTAACGACTTTCGTTTGATGTGGATACTTTTAAAAAAGATTGATTTGGAATTTTGTTTTGTTTGATGCTATTTCTATTTTTTATTTGATTGAACATAATTCACTATTTATGACTAAAAGCGATTGCGTTTCGCTTATAAAAATTGCATGTAAAATGCATTGAATGATTTAAATTTCATTCCAATTTGTTAAATCAAACGAATTGGTCGTTGACGAGTCAACAATGCGAAATGATGGCATGAAGTTCATTGCAATAGGAAAAGGCCATTAAAAGCTTTTATCCCAACGATCTGGCGGAAAATTAAGGTTTAAACTATTACTTCATTTTCTCTATTAAACTTGAAGAGGCTTGTTAAAGAAATACACAATTCATTTAAAGAAGAATTAGCGTTCTCAATTCGACTAACGAAGTTATTGAGATGCAATGAAGGATTTTATTCCACGGGGAAGTCAACTTTAATGCCAAGATTTCATTAAGGCGAAGTATGGTTGAAATTTTATTAAAACACTGAAGCAGATGTTACAAGTTAGTAATAAAATATATGAAATTTCATGCCATTGCAAAGTCATTTGTCTTTCTAAGCAATGTGATTTTGACGAGGATTATTATTGGGAGAGAAATATGCAAAATGGATACAATTTTCCACTTTATTAATTTTGTTATAAAATCTAATATATATTTCCCGGTTACAATATCTCAAGGCGTCGACATTGTGGTTAACAGGAATGTTACTTAGCATATCTGAGCTTTCAATAAGGAAATTGTGACATAATATAATACTGGAGCTTTTAAATTGGGCTTTATAGCTTTTAAATCTTTTTTTTCGACTAGAAAGTGGATCTCTCATTGTTTTGATATAATCTAAATACTAATATATTTAGCTGAAGAGTTTATTTGTTTGTTTGAACGCGGTAATCACAGGAACTGGTTTGAATTGACAAATTATATCTGTGTCGGTAAGAGCATTTATTGAGGAAAGCTATAAAACATTGCGCTGCGACTAGTAGAAGTGAAGAAACAGCGAGAAATTTGAAATAAAACTGGGAAAACGGTTTAAGATACGCAAAAATATGTATAAAAGAATGATCTAAAAAAATCTCCATGACTACTACATATTGACTCGCAAGAAAGACGAGACGCGACCGACGTCAACTGAAGCTTGAAATTATAAAGATGAAGAGGCTTGCAAAATCCAATTTTGACGCCCAAAATGGCTATACTGCGCGGACGAAGTCGCTGTCACAGCGAGTTAATGACAAAAGTAAATACCAGTCTAGTACAGAGTTTCCAAGAGAATATAACGAGGTAAAAAATTTACAATTTTTACTCGTCTTCAGGATTTCATTGCAAAAAGACACGGCATTCCAGTTCTTCGTCATAATGTCTTGATGCAAGCAAAATCTTGCGACTAAACGTTAAAGGATTATAGGCTATAAGACTGTTAACATAACATTCAATATGCCGTAACCCGATTCACCATTAAACCTTTATCAAATGAGTAGATCAAGAGATAATGATCAGTTACAGGGAAGAGCTGTGTTATGTGAATGGCAGTGAATCGTCTTCATGAAATATGTATGTGCGGATACGAGACGCTAAGCCAATTAAGTGAAATTTCATTATCGGGGACGGATTCATAATTTCCAAGAAAAATAAAGCTTGTAAACAAGATGTAACTCGTAGTTTATCTGATATTAAAGTTGGATTCTTTAATTGCTTTATCCTTTCCGAGAACTTCCAAGAAATCTATACTAATATATAAAGCTGAAGAGTTTGTTTATTTGTTTGTTTGAATGCGCTAATCTCAGGAAGTACAGGTTCAATTTTTTTTTTTTTGTGTTGGTTAAAACAGTATATCGAGGAAGGCTATGGGCTATAAAACATCGCGATGTAATAGGAGCGGAAAAACCGCGGGTAAAGTGAAAAAAAAAAAATTTAAATGCCCAAAATAACTAAACTACATGGGCAATGTCGCTCACTTAAATAAAACCCTTTGAATGAATTAAAATGCGAAATATAATTTTAACCACAACGCAACGTTTCGGATGGTTTTCAGCACTGAGAAATCTTAAAATTGAAACATTTAAATATTCTATATTACATATTGCATAATCTCTTTTAGGACACAATTAATTGGTTTCAATTTGACCACATAGCTTGTAAAAGTTACGTGTCACATTCTAATGCCTTAAGTTTAATTAAAACTGAGAATTGTAAGCGACATTTATAGGCCATGAGCGAATAAAGCTTTGTTTGGTAGTTAAAGTTATAATTGTTACAATTAAAGAAAGTGGCAAATGTCTCCTGATTAGTTCATAGAATTAAATATTTCATTCACGACTATAAGGACAAAAATATTATTTAAAAACGATGACTTATTGGTCTGTTTATAACATTGATCGGAGAAACAGACACATAAATGTGTATCTTATAAGTGATTTCGCTCACTCAGGCGCTAAAGTAGCAGATTTGTTTTTGACATTAGGGACAATCTCTATAATTATACTGTCCCCCCCCCTCTCCGTTGAGCCGTCAACAAAATTTTCAAAAATCAGTAAACGATATATTGCGCTTTAAACAGTTAACACTTGTGTTGTGTTTCACTTAAATGTACACATTTGATATTATCCATAGTTTAAATTACATCTGTTATCTTATTTTCCCCCATACAATAATGTCAACAGTCAATAAATATTTAAACGGTTATAAACAGGAAAGGAACAAAACAAATGAAAAGCAACAAATTTGAGTTTAAATGAAATTGATTGCAATTTGTTAACTTCAGTATTGTTAGCACACAATAATATGAAGCAATTCCGAAATAAATCATCAAATAAAACATTATACGACAAATCGTGAGTAAATTATCGTCGGCAAGAAACTTCCCCTATGTCATCTCGGACCGAATTAGTTTTGCGAACTCCGCCGTCTCTTGATTGTGTTGTTATGAAGATTTAGGGTTACCTCAATATCAATTCTTCTTGAATCTTTCTTCGATAGAGGACAGAGAAGCATAGATTTCGCTTGAATGAAATACCCCATATAACATCTTAACAAGACGTGCTATCGATTTTGGCTTTGGAAATTCGGAACTCCACAGACTAAAACCGAAACGCGATTTTCGATATTCCTACCACCCGTTTAATATCCAGATTTCCAGACGAAGTCCAACACGTTTCTGAACAATCATAAATTAAATACTGTCTATACTTTACGCGAGTAGTACACATTTAAATAAAACACTTTAACGGTTTAAAACGCGATATATTAGTTAAACTTATTTAAAAATGATTTTTAAATTATTTTATTTTTCCCCCCGTGACCACGGCTGCTAAGTTAAAAATCATTTTTAAAACAGTTTAACTAATATATCGCGTTTTAAACCGTTAAAGTGTTTTGTTTAAATCATAAATTTATTAGAAACGTGATGGACCCGGTGAGAATCGAACCCACGAACCGTTGTTTATTAGCCATACATTGCTGCCATTAACCGCAAATGGCGATTACTTCTTATCTTCTCCGTCTTACATGGAGAGACATGTTTTTTGTGGAACTTTTCGTAAAGAAATGTTAATTGCGCCAACCAAGTTTTAATGGTAATCAAATGCAATGCAAGGCGAATTCTTTATTAACATTCTGACAAAATATAAACTGGAAATAACGTAATCAAATGTCTTGAGTTCTTGAAATAACCCAGTCCCACAGTTGCGCTTAGGTTTACCTTTTAAAAGTACAATTTAAGAGCTAAGCTAAGGTTTGGAAACTTTAATATTATAAAAAAAAGAAATGAAAGAAAAAGAAGATAGACGGTATTTGAACCGGCATCCACAGTCTTCGGTGCCGGTGCTTTAATCAATCGTATAACGTATTTTTATTTAGCTAAGCTAAGCTTAAGAACGAGCTATCCAACTAAATAAAGATAAGGCTCTCTTAGAAGGCTTGAAAACTAAACTGTAAACAAGTGAGTTTAGTTGGCTTTAAAGTTGTCGTTGGTAAGGTAGTTTAGTTTGTTGAGTACATTTAATAACGATTAACATTTCATAAAACACAACTAGATCTATCTAAATTACAAATAATAATAAATATGTTTCTTTCGCAGAGTTATTCTCTCGCCAATACAAGCGTCTTCACGCGAAGCCGATAGAAATAAGACCTTTCAGGTGTCAAGGGCGGGAATTGGGATACCCGAAGATTACTTGTACGTTTCAAATGTCAATAAAAATGTGGTTTTATCTTTAGAGTCCAGAAATACTTATTCTTCAAAAAAGTGAGCAGCTTTAAACTTTAATTTAGTCTCTCTACCAAGCTCTTTAAAAGGGCTAAGCTATTTTTAATGTTTTTTTTTAAATTACTTCCTATAATGCTATAAGATGTTTTATATTATGCAAGTACATAAGGCCGTGTCAAGGGGCGTATTGGTATGTTCATTATTATCTGAAGGGTCAATTTACGCAAGTAGTGCACATTTAAATAAAACAATTTAAACTGTTTCAAACGCGAACTTTATTAGTTTAACGCATGTAAATAATTAAAAATTTTTTTTACTTTAAAACCTGAAATTATATTTCAAATATATAAATATCATGCTCTTGAAGGTTGCTTTGTAATGGAATTGAAAAATATACTTAAATAAAACACTTTAACGGTTTAAACGCATATATTAGTTAAACTTATTTGAAATTATTTTACTGCCCCTTTCGGATTTTGCAGCAGGCGGCCCCCCGTGACCACGTCGGGCCGAAGTTAAAAATCATTTTCAA